GTACTATGGGAGCTATTTATTCAGCTAGATTGTGTGGTCCTCTCTGGGCCAACCTGCTAGCTGGGCTTCCCCCAGGATAAAGGGAACAGAGCTACTGCCTGCAGGAGCGAGTTCTGGGTGGGGGCAGTAAACAAGCAATGGCCAACTCACTCTGGTCCCACTTGCTTAGTTCATCCCAAGAGGCCAACTTCCAGATACAGCTGTGGGTACACTGGCATCATCCACCTTATAGCCGTGACTTTGCATGTGATTCTGCAGTGTCATATTTATCCACCTAAAATCCCTTGAGGATGCAGAAGTTAAGATAAAAGCAGATTGATAACCTGGCTTTCAAGGATGAATGCACCAGGTTGTGTTGGAGCAGACTGGAAAAACACTACATATATCTGTGTCCTGGTTGAGTAACCCTGTTGATCTCATGTTGTTTTTGGGGGGGGGGGGACTGTTTTCTGATTTGTTTTTGGTATAATGGAAAATAGAAAAATATTTTTAAAGTAGTAAAATCAAAACAGCACCATAGTCCTGCCGATGCCTTTTGTATTTACTCTTTATTTTTTCATTATGCAAAGGGCTTTCATAGCTGCAACCAAATCTCAGTTAAAAGTTAGTTTTCCTCCCATTTAGCAAGATGCCATATGCATTTTTACGTAGCTGCAGAATATTCCATCAAGTGTAACTACCGTAATTTCCGTAGCCGCTCTCCCTTGTTGGATATTTAGGTTGTTTCCAATCTTTTGATATTATAAGAAATACTCCACTAACCATCTTTGTGAGTAAAGCTTTGAAATGCTATATTTCAGAGCCTTCTGAGTGGGAGAGCTAGTCTGTGAGCAGTAGCCTGACTGTGGGGGCCAACTTGTCACAGCGTTTCAGGGAAGCAGATTTTGGTTGACTCAGCCTCAAAGTGGCTCAAGATGGAAAAAGAATCAAGAATCCTTGATGGGTGGGAGGGTGCGCACTCCCTGCCCTCCACGCAGATGAGCAGAGGATTCCCAGAACACACATAAGGGATGTGACTAATTTGTCTCTGCCTCCATCTTGTGCTAAAAATAGTTTTGAGGAACCTTAAGACACTGTGTACAGCACAGCAAGATGAGAGATAAGGAAGCGAGGAAACCAGGGGAAAGAGGAAACCGCGTGACGCCTGGAAGGGACTAGTGTGTGTGCAGCTGGGCGTCTGAGCAAGGCTCTGTCGTCCTCCACACAGGTGGGGAGTGGAAGAGCTAGGACTCACCCCATCACACCCAGGTCTGTCTAAAGAGCCCATGCTTTAAGGGGAAAAAATGTGGTAAAAAATACATACAACATAAAATGTGCTATTTTAACCATGGTTAAGTATACAGTTCAGTGGCATTAATGGCATTCACAATGTTGTGCAAACATCACCACCATCTGCTTGCAACATTTTTCATCACTCCTAACAGAACATCTGTAGCCATCAGGCAATAACTTCTCATCTCCCTTACCCCCAGCCGTTAGTAACCTCTAGCCTACTTTCTGTCTCTATGAATTTGCCTATTCTAAGATAGTTCATAAAGGTGGAATCATTCAGTATTTGTCCTTTGTCTAGCATCATGTTTACCAGGTTCATCCATGTTATAGCATTGTGTCAGAACGTCAGCCCTCTTTAAGACTGCATAATATTCCACAATCTGTATATACCGTATTTTGTTTATCCGCTCATCTGTTCGTGGACACCTGGGTTGTTTCTGTGTTTTGGTTGTCATGAATAATGCTGCTGTGAATGTGTGTATAAGTAACAGTTTGAACACCTGCTTGCAAGTTGTTTGGTTATATACCTAGGAGTGCAATTGTGGGTCATCTGGTAATTCTACATTTGAGGAACCTCCATCCAAACTGTTTTTCACAGAGCCCATGCTTTTGGTAAGTGGGTAGTGGTGTCTCTGGGAAGCATAAATATGGACTCAGGAGTATCTGTAGGAAAAGTTTGTGAAAGATTTGTTTTACTTTCCAATATACTTTAGACAAATGCATAGGGAATTATAGCCAAAACCTACAGGCCTGTGCAAAGCAGATGCATTGATGGGGAGTGTAAAGTGGACTGCAGAAGGGGCTGGTAACTTACTAGTTAATTTTTTTTCCCATTTTAATGGTCATCCAAAGTCAAGATCATGCCCTGGGAATTAATCAAGGATGAGGGGAGGTGCTTCTGCCCCAGGACTTCAGGGACCATCACTATAGCTCTGTGGCTCTAAGTGGCTAAGGAGGCCACCAAATGTGTTGGAAAGAGTATGTCATTTGGAATCACCTGGGTTTTAATTCTGGCTCTGTTATCTAGAAGATGACTCTGGAAGTCACTTTACCACCTTGAGCCTCACTTTTCTCATTTGTAAAACATAAATAATGGCTACCTAGTAGGACTGTTGAGAAAAATAGCGATAATATGCATCGAACACCAACATAGTGCCTTGCTGATAGTTGATGTTAGCTAAATGATAGTGACCATACAATGTAAAGGAGGAATAGAAAGAAGATCAGACTGCCATATTCTAGAATAGTGGTGTCCATACTTGTCCAACAAGTGTCCAAGAACCTGGAGCCATGCAAAACACACTGAAATTCTGGCTCATGTAATCCTTCCTTTTGAACTAATTGTGGAAGTATGGTTTTTTTTTTTTAATCTCAAATGATACATAAGGGATTTGAAATAAATCACATCTTTAATTATTTCCTTTAATATTTGTTATTTACTCATTCATTTTATTGCTCACCTGCACTTATAGACAAATGGGGTGGTAGGTACCAAGGGTTGAAAATTAGAGTCATTTAAAAAGTTAGTTTTTTAAATGCATTAGAGAAAATCTAATTGAGACCTATTTCATCAAAACATTTGTTGCCGCTTGAGAAAAGATGACCATTGTTCAATATTGGCACCAAATCTCCACTGTCCATGTCACAGGGATGCTGATGTTGCTCAGAAGCCAGTTTGAGTCTTGTTACCTAGGAGTTTCACAGTAAATGATCAGTGAACCGGGAACCATTGTTCTAGAAGTAGATTCCCCAAGTAAAAAGTAGCTCTCTAAGTGAGAGAAGATGGGAACTGGCAGGAGAGCCACTTAAACACTGTGATCAATCTCAACTGAATGATTTCAAAGCGCATCCCTGAATATGATCAAAACGAAATTCCCATATGTTCTAAAATACTTGAAAAATAAAACACAGCTACTATATCATACACCATCCTGGAGGAATTCTAGGCTTTAACTTGATCTCATTTAATAATCCTGGCTCCTTTCTTACTTTGCTCCTTTAAAGCATGGGGCCATGTTTTATACACGTTGATGTCCCTCACATAATCTGATATTAGTAGGTGCTCATTAAATGTTTGTTGACTGGATGAACAAATGAATGACTGATATCTGTGTCCCCATGCTATACATTAGAAAGGCTGGTGGTCATGTTTCAGTGTTGCATAATATAGATACTTAGTTTTAAAACGTATCAGCTGCAACTTTATTGTAGAACCCCAGAGGAATAAGCCACACAAACACCATATCACAAATGTGTAAATGTAAAGCAAAGGCACAGCCCAGCAGCTGCATGGTGGCTAACCACAGGCATTTAGAGTTAGGGAGGATCATTGCCTCCAGAATTGTCATGTCCAGAAAATATTCTCTTCTAGTTAGAAACACACAAGAGAAGACTATACTCATGGATTAAGCTGAAACCACTATGGCATTTTTAAATACTCTTTGTGGAAGCAGTGGCAAAGATAAATGGTTCCTGCTACTGGTGTTTTAAAGTCAGATGTTGTCACTTTAGGTTATTTTACTTTTTCAGTGAGACTCTGAAAATGAAACCTTTCTGATCCATTTTCAAGCAATGATAACATTTGACAATTTGCAGCCTGAAAATGGTGCTAAGTGACTTCATATGCATAGCTAGACTATGAGCTTCTTAAGAACAGATCTTATTCTTATGCCCCCAGCACACAGTCGAGGCTCAGTAACATAAGATGGAGGGATGGTGGATTTGTTCTGTATATAACATTATGCTATCTATGATGATTAGAGGATACAGCTATGTTGATTTCCTCCTGTCCCCAGTTCTTGGATATATATCTACACTGATTTTCTGTGGGGTGTGGTTACATTCTCTGAAATGTATGACCACATCACATTCAGTCTTACACTACCCTTCCACAAAAAAATTGAAGCCTTCTCTAGAAGGCAGTGGAGTGTCCTCCTTACTTGTGTATCCTTGACACAGAGCCTGACACATAGAAGGTGCTCAGTAGGATCTGACTGAATGAAATTATCATAGTTATTAACTATAATGCCCTTAGTTGTTTCAGAGCTATGAAACAGCTTTGCTAAATAAATCATTAAGACCTGAAGTCTTAAAGAAAAGAACAGCATTTGTTATATGCTATGCTCTTTTTATATATTTCCCTTTTTACAGTCCCCTACCGAGAGCATGGTACAGCCCCATTTTGTCGATGAGAAACTGAGGCTAGGAAAGATGATGTCACTTTTTAAGAACTGGCAGCACCTGGATTGGCCCCTCCATCTTGCTGGTTCTGGTGACCATGCTCTTTTCTTGACCGTACTTCACAGCGGTGATCACCATATGGTTCATATTACATGCGATTGAGGGCATTTCAGAAGACAACTGAGCTGGTAGCCTCTTAGGAGTCAATTTCTTTAATCTATACAAGTGTTTCTTGACAAATACAGGTTAAACTAACACCATTTATAAACTATTTTGCAAGGGTAAAATGTCAAAATTTTATATGTCTTTTTTAAAACATTCCTTTAATAGATAATTCTAATTGCCTAATATTTTGTTGTTTAAATATTTGATAGTTGTAGTGATAATTGGATGAAAACCTAAAACGCTGGGAAGTGGAGCCCTTCCTCCTCTTTTCCTGGGCTGACACCTAGTGGCTAGCTTTCTCACAGCAGGTGTTAATCCATATTTCTTGATGGTGGTTTTCAGTTGATGTTAGGATTTTACAAATCAAATTATTGACATCATAATAAAAGTAGCCACATTCATATAAGGTTTATTTATCAGTGATTGCATTAACAACGGAACTTTGAGTTATAGTGAATTGTAAATATGTTATAACCAAGCCTTATTAGCAGAACATGGAACAGGCATTTGAAATCTTGCAGTAGTGGTCCTCACTGCAGACCGGGCCAAGGCACTGACTTGCACACACTGACAAATAAGACCTGGCCACTGTCAAAGACAGTGAAAGGCAGAGGAGGAAAGGAAGCAGAGAGCTGCAGGAAGGGGTGGGCGCTGTAGTAGAATGCACAGGCTGGTAGACATTTAAATGCAGGGCTAATCACTGCAGACTGGTTGCTGAGGCGAAGCTTCCCAGGGATGGATGTGTCTGGAATGAGGCCTTACAGGAGGAATAGGAGCTCCCCAGGAGCAGGGGGCAGGAAGTGGCATGAGCAGAGGCAAGCAGCCTTGAAGGCATGTGGCATCGTTGGGTACTGTGAGTGCTCCTGTGGCTGGAGCACAGGCAGAAGGGGTGTGGCTGAGGATCAAGCAGAGGAGAGGTCAGTTTCCAGGCCCTGAGAGACCATGTTGGCCACTGCAGGATTCAGCACTAATATCATAAGCCAGCATTTCCAGAACCCTATTCCTTGAAATATTAGAACCAAAGATGTTGGTATATTTTCTGATCCCATAAAATTTGGAATTGTTGCATTTTACACCTACTATTACTTTTTAAATATATTAACAGTGTACACTACTTAAGTCCAGCTATAAAGAAATCGAGTTCACTTTGTTTGACCCGGCATTTTTCAGAAGGCCCTTTCCACAAAATACCTATTAGCATTCCTTGCACCTAGTACTCCTCACAACAGTTTAGGAAGCACTGCTAGAGCTATGGTGGATGGTTAATTTTTCTTGCTCTAAGACCATGGAATTAGGATACCAGCTGTGTTCATTTTACCGGTTCCGTGGCTGTGAATCTCAAAAACAGAAAAGCACATTCTTTTTCCAAAGCATTTCTTGTCTGGCCAGACAGAGGTTTTGGGCCAACAGGTGGTCTTGAGACACAGAGCCGAGCCATCATTCGGCTTTCCTAGCTCAGGACCACAGGCTGCTACTTGGTCCTCTAGGTCCAGCAACTTAATCAGTGTTTCAGTCAGGATCTAAGCAGGACAACAGAGACGACTTTAGATGTTTACAACAGAGGGGAAGTAATGCAAGGAAGTGATCACACACGAGATGGAGGAGCTGAGATTCAAAAGAAGACAGGGAGGCAATCCAGAGATGAGTAACAGCAGAGGTGGTGTTCCTGAGGCCAGAGGCCAGGGTCGCTTGACCACAGCTGGTCCCTGTGGGTCTGTGCAGTGGGTGCCTGCGTCAGGGAGGAGGTGAACCATAGCTAGACAGCCCACCCAGGCAGAGAGAGCGTGAAGAGATACTCAAGCTTTTGCCTTCCATTCTCCTCCTCCTAATCTCTTACTGGTGCCTTGCATGGGCCAAACCAAGCGGAAACCAGCTGATCTGGGAGCCCAGGGAACTCGGTGTGCAAAGGTCACCCTCTCGTCTGTAGAGAGCAGAATAGAAAAGTGGGGGTGAGTCTCAGGTCAAGCAGGCTGAGAACCTGCACTGCCAGATCCCAGAGAGTAAGGCTATTTGGTGACCTACCCCCAATCCCTTCTCCAGGCAAATAAATAGCATAGTGAAGTGAAAGTCCCCTTGAGTAGAAGTTAGACTTGATGCTAACCTGGACTCTGCCTTGTCTAAGCTGTGTGACTCTACGCAAGTTACTATACCTTTCTGAACTCTTATTACCTCAACTATAAAATAGGCAAGAGAATCTCTACTTAAACGATGCCTTCACAGACTTTCCTTGACATGTGTCTGGCTGGTTTCTGTTTTATAATGAAATAAGAATGAGGTATTTAAAACTTTATGGGCTTAGCCTGGAGCTAACAGGAATGTCAGAAATTCCCATATGTTGAGTGACTACCATCCAAATTTCAGTGAATTTGCTGAAGTTCTGTTAGCTAGCAATTATTATCTAGTAGACGTCTAATTTCTTAATATATTCTCTTTCTGGGGGCACACAGGTAGAGGAAAGCTCACAAAGTGTCTGATGGAATATTTGAGTGTTGGAGAGGTACTGTGTGTGCACTGTAGTTTGGTACAGGCTAAAGAAGGTTGAGATTCCAGGAAAGTTACTTACTTAAGAGCTACAGAACTTTGGGAAGCCGTCTCTCCTCCCCGAACCGCAGGTTTCTCATTTGTTAACTAGGGAAAAAAAGGCCACCCTTAGGACACTGTTTTCAGAATTAAATGCAATGGCAGATGGGAAGTACTCGTCCTCTGTGCATCTTTCCTGCCCTCCACAGCAAACTTTTTATCCAGTGAATGCCCAATTCACCAGCAGTCACATTCCATGGAGGCGTGGCAGGATTTTTGGAAAGACTTTAACTGGAGATTATTTATGTTTGGCTTGCTGGTCCCTGTTAGTGATGTGACCTGGCAGGTCTCCACTCAACCCTGTTTCCATCAGTCACAGCTCACTGGCATTATTCATAAGCCAGTTGCTTGAGACTTTCTTTGCTCATATTCCTACTGCGAGGCGTGTTCACTCTCGTCTTCACAATAAAAATGGTCTGGAGGTTTTGAGGTTGTCTTGAGCAAGTCAGCTGACGGCTGAAAAGGTCATTATCTATTTTCTGAAGGGAAACTTTTATCCCAAGTTGATTAGTTTTATCCTTGGTTGATAAGTGTTTATGCAAAAGAGGTAGAGGAGGGAAAAGCCTGGTACTTATTAACTCGTACTTCTTGCCCTTTATGTATATTTTCTTGGTTAAATGTACACAGTATTATCCCCAACTTGCTAAATAAGAAACTTAAAGCAGAGAGAATTAAATAACTTAATGCAACAACTTTGCTCAAACGTTTACTGAGATCCTGCTAAACCAGGCACCATTCTAGATGCTTGGAGTTGCAGCGGTGAACAAAATTAAGTCCCAGTCCTCAAATCTCTTGTACTTTAGGAAGACACACATAGTCAACAAAGATGAAAATCAACATATAATATGTCTGATGGTAATAAGTATTACACAGAGAAAGAAAGCTAGGGAAGAGGATAGAGAGAGCTCCTGGGGGAGGTAGGTGCCAAGAAGAAAGAGTCGGATTAGAGCCAGGTCTGTCTGCCTCTAGAACTCACAGTTTTTCCACTGGTCCCATGCTGCTTCTGATCCTCTTTGGTGATGGTTTCCAGCATCTAGGGAGGAAACATGAACTCCTCTAGCATCTTGCTTCTTAGTATAAAGCTGATAATTCAATGTGTCAGGGTGGTGACTTTGCATTCCTGGGGTACAGAAAACATTTTTGCCTGTACTCCCTGCTGTCAGCAGCATGTAGCTGTTTCTTTCGTCTCTCTGGTTTCCCAGACACATTTAATCTTGATGCAGAAAGCATCTTGCCAGCTTGGACTCGAGCCCTAGTGCTGAGGAGACCAGTCTGTCCTACAGGAGGGTCTCTGTGACTGCTGGGCTCAAAGGAACTCATCGCTTCTTTTTTCTCTTTTTCCAAAAAGTGGTGCTCCAGGGAGTAGCTTATGTCATCTTAATATCTGTTTGCTGATCTTTAGGACTCAGCATGACAGTCTAATTCTATTTTTTAAAAAAATGCTGGCGCCTACTCTGTACCAGGCCCCGTGGCAGGCACTGAAGAAAGGAGATGGAATCTACTTATAGGAGTCAGCTAGACCTGGCTTCCAGGTACCACTTTTCTATTTACGTAATTTTGGGCAAGTTACTTAATTCCTTGGCTTCAGCTTTGTCATCTGTAAAATGGGGAGACTAAATGTAATCTGCCTCATAGGATTGGTGTGAAGATTAACTTAGGTAATACAGCATGGTAGCTGGCTCTTGATAAGAGCTTAATATTAGTTTTTAAAATATACCAAAGTAACCATTCAATTTATAGCTGAGTTTTCTCTACATTTTGTCCTATGAGGAAACAGTTGAGTAGATATTAGATTTTCTTTCTCAAAGTGTATGTCTTTTAGTGGAAAATATAGTAATAATCCTCATAATGTTGACACTGTTCAAAAGAAATGTTGGCATTCAATCTACATTATTTCCCACTAGATAGGTACCATTATACCTTTAAAAATCTATTTGCTTTTAAATAAAACAGATAAAGAAAACTGCCTTAATCAAATGGATGATGTAATGAATTTTTATAAGACCAATACTTTCTAAAACAAGAAACAGAACTTTCCTACCCACCCTAGAGCTCCCTTTGATCCCAGCTCTTTCCTTTCCTCCATAAGTAACCACTATCTTGACTTTCGTGGTAATCACTTGCATTTTTTTAAAAAATAGTTTTATTACCCAAATGTTTACGCCTAGAAACTATAGGTGAGTTTTTCTGTTTTAAAAAGATACGACTTTTAATTCTCTTTCAACTTACGGGTTCCTCCTTCACCCTGTTCATTTACTTACAGTTTATTTGTTGATGAAGCCTGTGAAGATTTCCCAGTGTGTGAGTTTTGCTGGTGGCATAATCCTGGTGCAGCTCACCATGTTCCTCTGTCCCCTGTATTTCTTGCTAGTTGACAGTTGATCCAGAGATTGGATAGACTGAGGTTCAGTCCCTTTTACAAGACTGCAGGAGACATACCAGGTCTGCTTTTGTCTCTTTTAGTGATCTTAGTAGCCAATGTGGTTAATATCTGTATTGATTTATTCACTGGGAGTTGAAAAATGGTAATATTCTAAGTTTTTATTTATTAGTTGGAATATTTTTATAAAGAGACAATTTCTCCCATTTAATATTTACCAGTGTTAGTGTTTATACAAGCCAAAGCAAAATAAATGTTAGACTCCCTTTAATTACCACTTTTAATATAATGAATTGTTGTTCCCTATCATCCTCCAAAGGTGACAATTATATTATATGTGTGTGTGTGTATATATATGAACTCATATATCTATATGTATGTGAACTCATATATATATGAGTTGTCACCTTTAGATTCATACACACACACACACACACACACACAATTGCCTGGTGAATTTAAACTCGTTTGATGCATCTTGGTTCATTGTAATTATTTTTTATTTAATTTTTTAAATTTAATTATTAAAATAATTATTAAACCCCAAACCCCCCATCTTCGGCGAGTGAGAAATACTTCAGGTTCACACCTGAGTACTTTTTTCTACATGAACCTAGCAGTCTTTGATAGCTCTCTTGCTATCTGATACTACAAAAGGTTCCAGGCTCATCTTGTACGTTTCCTGCCTCCAAACCTGGAATCAGACATTTCTTCAGGAAACACTGGTTTCTTTTAGTGAGAAATTACATCTCAAGACCAAAACCTGGCTTAGGATACTCATTGCTACTGGGTTGGTCATTGTTTCTAGGCCTTTTCAGGGAACAGAGCTAGGAAACATGCTTATGTATGTAAATCTCTTGCCATTTATATTGATACTTCCAATTAAAATTCAAGACTACAGAGCTTTTACTTAACCTCATCTCTATTACATTTGTATTTCCTTTCTCCCATATGAAAATTCTGGTTCTCAAGGGCACAAGGAATAATAGAATACTCCAGAATTACTAATTTAGTTTCATATTCTCCAAAAATGATACAAATACTACCATGAGCATAATTACAGAAGACCTTTTAACTATTTTTTTGTATGTTCTTTCCTCCTATTTTTGACTAGTTTGGCTGTATTTACATTGCTAGAGCATGCAGCCATTACGTAAGATACTCTCTCCCTCTCAGTCTTCGGGTGACTGTGTCTTACCACCAGTCCTAATGGTGATGTCTCTGGAGTCATTCTTTATTGCCTGACACTTGCTCCCTGGTAAATTCCCTAGGAAAGTTCCTGGGAATAATATTCCCTCCGTTGTTAAAAGTTGATCATCGCTTTTCTTTGTCCTTTAAACATGAAAGTCAGTTTCGCTGAATGTAAGTTCCCTGGCTCGTACATTCTATTTTGAGTATCTTGAATGTGTTACTTCACTTTCTTCTGGCAAAGTGTTGCTGTCAAAGTCTAATGATAATCTCAATTTTCTTTTGTTAATACGTCTTTTTTTTTTTTAACTACATGCCCAAGAATTGTTGTTGTTTGCTTTAAAGTTCAGTAATTTTATTAGATTGTCTTTGGTAGTTATTCTAGTTCTGTAGAACAGGAATACAATGTGGTCTTTCAACATATTTGAAATACACAATTTCATACCTCTTTTTTTTAATTTCAGGAAAATTTTCTTGAATCAGCATTGGTTTTGATTATTGCTTTGCTTTTCTTCTTCAGGCACTCCAGTTAGCCATATATTCAATCTTCTTTGCCTATTTTCAATATTTTTCACCTTTTTAAAAATATTTTTTACCTATTTTAAAATATATTGTTGAGATTTGATTCTTTTTGCTGTATTTTTGAATATTGAAGTTTTCTGGTTTTCTTTTGTTTTTGTTAAGGCATTGTCTTTTGAATTGACTGGTTCTTATATTCCATCTAGTTTAGTTCTAATTTCTGAAAAGAGTTTCTTTTTTTTTTTTTTTTTTTTTTTTTTTTTTTTTTTTTTTGTTTTTTTTTTTTTTGTTTTTTTAAAGATAAGGTTTCACCATGTTGGCCAGGCTGGTCTTGAACCCCTGACCTCCGCCTCCCTCGGCCTCCCAAAGTGCTGAGATTACAGGCGTGAGCCACCACGCCTGGCGAGTTGTTGTTGTTGATGATGATGATGATTTTTAGAGGGAATCTTACTCTGTCATCCAGGCTAGAGTGCAAAGGCATGATCTCAGCTCACTGCAACCTCCGCCTTGTAGGTTCAGGCGATTCTCCTGCCTCAGCCTCCCAAATAGCTGGGATTGCAGGCACCCGCCACCGCTTCCAGCTAATTTTTGTGTTTTTAGTAGCGATGGGGTTTTACCATCTTGGTCAGGCTCGTCTCGAACTCCTGACCTCATGATCCACCTGCCCCGGCCTCCGAAAGTACTGGGATTACAGGCATGAGCCACCGTGCCTGGACTTTCCTGAGTCCTATCCCCTCATTTTTAGATTTTTATAATTCAGATTTATGTTGGTTTTTCATGCTTTGGGCCATTTTCTTAGTGTCTTTAGCTCATTTTGACACTGTAGGCTGTAGCTTTAATCTGTTTTGTGGAGATACCTTTCAGGCATGCTGTCATTGTGAACAGGGGTGTTACTCTATATCTTTTTATTTTTCCTATAATAACCTTGTGTGGAATTTGATTTCAGTGTTTTGTTGTTGTTGTTGTTGTTCATTTTTATGTGAAATTAGATTTTCTGACTTTAGAATGAGATGAAGTTCAAGAAAGCTTTTCTGACTTAAAAGAGTTAACAGCTCTTCTGTTGTTTTTGGTGGTGGTCAGTAATGTGACAGCTGCTTTCTGGGGTTTTGTGCATTTCCTTCCCCCACTTTGATCTAGACCTCCGCTTCCCGTCCTCTCTTTCTTGTCTCTGTTCTGCTCAGTCTTGGTTCCCTTCGCAGCAATTTCTCTCCATTGTGGACCCCTGTCCTGGAAGGAGGTCCTGATTTGTTTTCTCAGGAGTTCCTAGGAACTCCTAGGGTTTGCAGGGGCTGGATGGCTCGATCCCCTCCAGTCCTTCTTACCACAGGCCCCTCGTATTCACCTGCTTTGCAAAGGCCAAAACACTTCCACTTGTAGCAGCTGTTCTCAGATTGGCTCACTGAACTTTCTGCAAGTCACTGATGGCTTTTTTTCCTTTTTTTTTTTTTTTTTTTTTTTTTTTGAGACAGAGTCTCACTCTGTCGCCAGGCTGGAGCGCAGTGGTATAATCTCGGCTCACTGCAACCTCCACCTCCCAGGTTCAAGCGATTCTCCTGCCTAAGCCTTCTGAATAGCTGGGACTATAGGTGCACACCACCATGCCTGGCTAATTTTTGGATTTTTTGTAGAGGGAGGGTTTCACCATGTTGGCCAGGCTGGCCTTAAACTTCTGACCTTGTCAAGTCAGCCACCTACCTCGGCCTCCCAAAGTGCTGGTATTATAGGTGTGAGCTGCCACGCCTGGCCAATGTTTTGAGGTTTACTTTTTCTGAGGTCTGTCAGTACAAATAGCAACACAAAGCCGGTTTGGTGGTGGTTTGTACTTGCCTGCTTGCATTTGGGGGTTTATTGTTCACCTGGTTTTGTCGTAACTATTGCACTTATTTGAGGTTTTGTTGTATAGTCAGTTTGCCTTTTTTATGTAGAGGTTTGAAGAGGTTAAACAACTGCACGACCACTGCCGCCACCACTGCCAGATTCCCAGAATCCCCTTTTTCTGTTTTCCCATTTTTTCCTTAGAAATCCTAGGAAAGGTAAAATATCTCTCACAAGTATAGTAAGTTGCCTCTTGGAACTTACATTCTGGTGGAGGAAGACAGAGAATAAACATGAACAAAAAATAGACGATGAGTTTATATAGTGATGCGTGCTGTGAAGAAAAACCACTGGAAAGGGGTAGCAAAGCTGGGGAGGTGTTTATTTGGTACTGTCCTCCAAAGAGGTGATATCTGAACTGACACTTGAATGATGAGAAGTCACAGGCATTCAAA